TAATGAAAACATGAACAGGTGGATTGATGCATATCTTCAAACATTGTTGCCTTGAAGGCCCTGAGCAAAGCTCAATGGATTCCAAACACCAACCCCCACTCCCCCATGACTTCCCAGGCAGTGTAACACTACACAATCAGAATGGATGCAAAGTCTGAAAATAGCTGGAAGTGATTCAGAGCCACATCTGGGGAAGATGACAAGAACATGCCGGGAAATGCCAGGTTCACCAGAAAGCAAGATATATCTGCAAAACAATCTAGGTGATTGGTAGACCTCTTTGAAAGTGTCCTAACAGAAGACAGTATTTTAGGCAATGGAAATTCTGTCTGAAAAGAAGTTTTCAGGTATCCCAACTTGGCTACTTTAAAGGAAACTGCGAGTTTAAACGTGCTGTGACTATTTGGGGAAACACACACACACACACACACATTTTGATCTCTGACTAAAGAGGGGCACTAATAAAGTGTGCACACTGCTATGGTCGAGTGTGCCCTGGTGCCAGACTGCCTGAGTCTGAATCCCAGCTCTGTCACTTCCTATTTGTGGGACCATGGTCAAGTTCTTTGGCCCCCAAGGGGGGAAATAACTCCAGTCTTTTTCTTCATCTTAAAATAGGGCCAATGGCAGCACCTCCCTCACAGGGATACTGGGAACTGCAAGTGAGATCAGCTACTTGTTAATACATGGTAAATATAACCCAGTGTGGAGACACTGCCTTTCCCGTCTTCCAGATGCAGACTGTCACCATCCTGTGTAGACGAGGCAGAGCCCCCAGACTCTTGTCTGGCTGGCTTTACCTACCTCTATTACCTGTCTGGTCCTCATAGGCATTTGTAGTTTGCAGCCCCTGACTTACAGTCATGGATCAGGACAGACAGACATAGGAAGCAAAGCGTTAGCCCCATACCAAGTAGCAGATCTGCACAGCACTTTCTATCTGCCCAGGGCCATTCAGGACCCCTAATCTCTGTGATATTGGTCTAGAGCTAAGGATCTCTTCTTGGGTGGATCACAACAGAGCCACAGAATCACACTCGCCACTCAGACCAGCAGAGCAAAGTCTCTTTATTTCATGTATATTTTCTTCCCGATTCCCATCACATGGGGGTAGCGAAGATAACTTAGGCTGGGCAAGGAAAACTGGCTCCTAGCTCTTCCCATCTAAATTGTCAGCTTTTTATTCAAACTTTTTGTCAATTGAAAGTTAATTGGCCGTCTGTCAGCACTGCTGGGACAGTCTCACCAGGATGACATTATCTCTGTGATTTTCACCATGCTCCATTTGCCCCTCAGGTCTGAGGATGGAGGCCACACTTGTTGAGGGGCTGTTGTGCAGAGGGATCTTCAGGCATGGTGGTACAGGAAGGACCTCTGGACTGTCCGTTGCTGTTCATCCCTTCGTCACCCTCTGGCTGAAATCAGCGGTCCCTTGTCTCAACTTTGTAAGGTCTGAAACTTGCCCTGGCTAACCTGTTGGTTGGGTCATTGATTGCAGGGTTGCCTGAGTCCAAGCTGCATTATCAGGAAGAACAAATGGCTGCCCTGGGAACCTGCAGCCTGCCCTCCAGTTTCCTTATCACACATGCTACTGAGTCTCCTCAGCTGTACTGGGGCTGTTCTTGCCCAGGCTGCTGAGTGTGTGTAGCCTCTGAGGTAGCTACAGCACAACCAACCCTGGGTTCTCATGGAGCCCCCCAGTCTTCTTCTGATCCGCACCTCACTCTCTGCTCCTCCTTCTTCTTCCCACTTCCCACAATTCTCCATGCCTGAAACGGGCAGCTACCCAACTATTCACTCCATCTCTTCACGACCTCCCTCCTCAACAGCTCTGTGTTCTGGGCATAAAGGACCTAAGTCTTCCTGGGTCAATGGAAGACACTCTGAATCCAGCCCTTGGTGATGCTGTTGAGAGAGGTGACTGCCATGTAATTCCCTGCAAACCCTTAGTGAACATCCAATGAATGTGGGGCTCGAATCCCTGGTCCAGGCTGCTCTCCTGGAACGAACATAAGGAAGGAAGTGAAACCACCCCAAGTAGAGAACAACTAAGTGTAGAAGAAGCAGACTCCCTCCTCTCTGGGTTCCCTGGGCCAATGAAAAGTGCCGTTTCCATTTGGTTTATCCCTATTCAAAGTTTATTTGTTCAGTCATTAAATATGAATTGAGTAAGTACTGTGTGTCAGTCACTATCCTGAGTCTGGGAATGCTGGCTTACTTATTTATGTCTGCTACAGTACATAAAAGTTTTGTCCGTATTGGGAAGTCACTGAAGAGAGTGTCCATCACTTTGGGCATTGTGAAGACAGTAAACACCAGCTGGTGGACAATGCTTTGGGGTTTATTGTCCTGGACACGGTAGAAGAGGAAGACCCATGGGCAGAGGTGAGATGTGAGCCGCAATCTTCATCACAGTATAAAACCAGCTTTGCATTTGATTGCAGCAGGCGTTCATTTCATAAGGCACCTGCCCCACAGACATTAGGACCCAAGTTCAATCCTGGGATCCCCATCCATGTGTGGTACAGGAGCTTGTAATCCCAGAACATCGGAGTCAGAGTCAGGAAAATCCTTGCGGATTGCTGGTCAGCCTCACATAATTGGAGGGTCCCAGGTTCCAGTGAGGGACTCTGTCTCAAAAAACAAACAAACAAAAAAACCAAAACAAACAAAAAACCAAAGTAGGGGACCTGAGGAATAACATCAAGGTTGGCCTCTGGCCTCCACATGCACACACATATACAAACCCCACACATGAACATTCGCTAGCTCCCATGAACACACATGCATGAAGGAAACCATAAGCAGAAATGGCAGACGATACACTTCATACTGCAAAGGGTGAAGCCATTGCCACGCTCCAGGAACAGAGAGGAACCAGTGTTGCACCGAAGGGAACAGCAAATGATAAGGCCAGCGTGGAGATGGCAGGGCAACCAGCAAAGAGCATCGTGGGCTAAGGGGAACGTGGAGTTAGAAGGTTTTCTGTCGGGCCGCAGCTCGCTCAGGCTGCCCAGTGGAAAATATTTGTCTCTGCTGATTTAATGGAGCATAAGAAAGGTCATCTGTGAGTTTGCCTCAGGGATCAGGATTCACAGTGCCCTTAAAGGAATTACTTTATGTCTTGCTTAATGGTAATCTTATTCATATACAAATGAATGTACATTTTAATTTCTTCCAGTGTGTTGTATTTTGCCCACGTATTGAGTTTCAGAATATTACATGTTCAAAGAACAGAATTTCTCCATGCCTCCATCTGTAGATTTAGGTTGTCCTAAGTTGTTGGGTCCTCATAACTAAATGTAAATAGAATTTTTTTCATGATTTTGCAAATTGATTTTCTATTTAGTGACCCATGTGGGCCTGTAGCCCATTTTCTTCTGCATGCAATTTCACTGCTATTATTTAGATGTATGGTTTAAACAATACACTGGCATTCCTTCTGCATAAATCCATGAATTATATTAAAATATGGGCAGCAGTCTTGCACATGGGTTTCCACCTCCCTTGTCTCTCATTCATTCCTACTCCCCTTCCCTCATTCCTTCCCAAACCTGAAGCTGATCTCCCTCCACAGCACATGCCTGGATTTGTGGGGTGTGTCTTCCACACACACTAAGAATCAAAGCTCTCTGGAGATACTGGCTTGGTCCAGTCCTTACATCCTGACTCCTTCACATCCCACCCCCATCCTGAGGTTTCAGGGGCATTGTGGACGTAGGACATCATGCATGTTAGAGGTGTTTAGCTTGATTGACTTTTAAATACTGGAGGGTTTGCCTGCATGTGTGCACCCAATTTAGCAAGCCAGAGAAATGCTTATGGTAGTGTAGGGTTTTCCTTTTTCTCTTTGAAATGGGCTCTCATTTAGCCAAGGGTGACCTTAACCTTCTAATCTTACATCTCCTAAATGCCAGGATTAGAGTCATGTTAAGTGCTGGGATTGCAGGCATGTGAGTACTACAATTACAGGCATGTAAATCCTGGGATTGCAGGCATACACCACCACTCCAAGTTAATGTAGTGCTGAGGATTGAATCAGGGTTTCCTGCAGGCTAGGCATGCACTCTACCAAGTTGAGCTATATCCCTGCTCAGACAGTATAGTTTTACATGGGTTGCATAGTGAATAGAATGGAGGAAGGTAATCCCTTCTAGCTTGCTGAGTCAGCCAGAATCAAAGCGGATGCATCTTGAAGCCATGAGGTCCACAGGGAGGTCAAGGATGGACTCTGATGTCTTTGAGTTAGAACTTAATAGACTGGGAGGCTCTCGGGAAAGCTCTTTGCAAACTGTGCAAGTTTTACCTAATCCTCTCTCTCTGAGTAACTCTGCTTCTAGGCAAGAGACCAAATCATATCTACAAGTATTTTGTTTTGTCACATTTTGGTTTTTCCTTGGCAATTGCAGGGAGGACTCGATATTCTAAAATTCCCCCCTCCCCTGGGTCTGGGTGGGAGTGAATTTCTGCTTTCACTACTGTGTAAGTCATTGCTCAGACTCTGAAGAGGCATTTCTGCAACTCTCCCGACAGCTGCATACTTCTTTCCTGCAGCAAGGGAAGCTCATGACCCTCCCTTCCCTCCACCCTCACTGCAAATGCAGAAAAAGTCCTCACACTGCAAGAAAGAGGTCCCCCACCCCATTTATTTGTTTGAATATTAAAATAGGGTTTCCAGATAAATATAGATCACAAAGCTGAGTTTAAGGTTCAGATAAGCCTCTCATGATATAATGTGCATGGCACACGCTTAATATTAAGAAAGTATGGTTTATTTGAGATGCAAACCTAACTGGGAAGCCTGTATTTTTATTTGCTAAGTTTGGCAGCACAAATTAAAAAACCAAACCAAACCATAGCTGCAGCCAGCACTGTTGGCCAAATATCTCCCTCAGGAAACAGGAGAGAATTGATGGGACATCTTTCTTTCTCAGCATCCTCTGATCTGCTCTGTCTTTTCCTTGGAAAGGAGCAAGGCCTGATGGGTAGAGCCAGTCCTGCTGGGCTGGCAGAGAGCTGGATAAGGAGACAGACAGAGAGAAAGGACCTCCGAGAGCTGCTTTGAGACTGCTGAAGACAGCAACAATTTCAGAGTAAGCACACGAGCTGCTAAAAACAAAAGGGAAGGGCCGATTGCTGCGTTATTCATGGTCATGGCTGCTGCCTGGCACAATTTGTGCCCAGGTAAGCCTGGAGAAAGCCAATAGTGGCGAATTGCAGGAAGCAGGAGAGAGTGAGCCACAGGACTTTCTGTGACTGGACGGGAGTGCTGGAGAGGGGAGGAGGGGAAGTGGGCAGAAGCAGCCCTGGCATTTGAAATGGGTGGGCTCCGCAAGGTCATCTCAGATGGCAGGAACATGATGCTTCAGGCTGGGAACTGTGGATGAAATCCACCTGCAAGACTTAGCCAGCTGTCACAGCGAGGAGACAATCAGGGCCATCTGCCACCACAGATAGCTGCTTATTCCAGACAGATAGTGTCTGCAGCATGCTGTGACATCCTGCAAAGAGTCTTTTTAAAATCACCTGGTCCAGTGGGCAGGCAAGCAGCAAGGGCAGTGGCTGTGAGGATAAGGGGTAGACTCATTTGATGCTCCCCTGCAACTCTCCCGACTCCAAGGGAATTCTGGTTGGAAACAAGAGCTAACTAGGTGATCTGGGCGGAAAATGCTACAGTCGGTGGTTCAGATTCCTCATCTCCAGAACAGGTGCTTGTCAGCGGCTGGTTATATCGGACTGATGTCACTGTTCCACTAGGAGCTGCTCCAAGCCAGAATAATACCTCCTCAGTGTCAGTTCAGGTCCTACATCAGCTCTGAGAAAGAACAGATGGGCGAGTCAGGAACAGAGGGGCAGAGGCAATGTGTTCTTATCCTCTGCATAATTCTCACATCCCTTGCCACCTGCCAGCATCAGAACCTCATTTCTTAACCGCTGAAGGGTGTGAAGAGGGTACCCAGGGGATGTGACAAGCACTTATGAATTGATGTGGAGGCAATTATCATATTGACAAAGTGCTCGAAGGGTCACGAAACACCTATAATATTGTTTCAGATGGAAAGTACTTAACATTGTGTGCCTTCGCCTGGGTGTTATGTACATCTTCTATCGGTATCTGTTGAATGCCTATAACATTTACTCTATGAACATTTATGAATAAGGAGTGTCTACTTACGTTTGTAAGCCCAGCACTCAGGAGGCTGAGGCAGGAGGGTTGCCTCAATTTGAGGCAAGCCTACACTACACAATGAGTTCAAATCCATTCCGGATTATATAGCAAGACTCTGTCTTAAAAACATACAAATATATGTATATATAGAAAATATAAAAACTTTTCTTCAGAGACAGAAAAGTATATTCAGAGGGGGAAAAAAGTTCTGGAAAAATCTAAAACTTGTCCATAGTACTGGGGACATAACTCAGAGGTTCACTGCTAGCCTTGCTTGCATCCTGGAGGGTCTGGCTTTGATCACCAGCAGTTATAAATATAAAAAATTACATGGTCAATTATGGTCACTTTGAACACATTTATCATACATTCAGAGGGTATGATACATTAGTGTCAAGGGGAACCAAGATTTGAGTTCTCTTAGCTCTCCCTGTGTTTTCCATCATCTCTGTCTGTTATATGAGTCAGAATCTGTGCCTGCTTGAAGGCTGTCTAGTGGTTCTGTCCCTAACAAAGGGCCCTGCTCTCTCTTTATTGAAGAGCACAGAAAGCATCACACTGGGGAGGGATGAGGTCCTCCTCACAGAAACATTTAAAAGAGTTTCACAAGGGATTGAGTTACTGACTCCAGCTGACCACAACTGACCTAAATAAAACAGTTGTACAAACAAATTGTTTATCTAGCAATATATGCTGCATTCAACACTTACGGTGGATACTTATTTTATAAGGTTGTTTTCTGTCTATATTTGCTGTTTTCAGCAAATGATGATGATAACACACATTCAAACGCATATGCATTACTCTTGGGCCAGGGGCATGGAAGAGTACATAGCTTAGATTGCAGCTGTGTGTTAGTTTAGGTTGTAAATGTTGATTATGTAGGAAATCCAAGGCAAGTGAGGTTGGCTGCTACTCTGTTCTCTTCAAGTCATGTTAAACAAACAGGTTGAGGACACAGTAGGAGAGCAGTCTCAAGTGACCTCAAGGAGTATTGTTAACTCTGTCTGTGTGGTCCAGCAAAAAAGCCCCAACTCTTAGAATGGAAGCAATATTTTGATAATAAAACATTGCCACAGTCAATAAAGGTATAACTCTGTTTTCTTTATAGATGTACTTAGGTAATTACTAAGTGATTAAATTATTGAACTTGAATGAAAATTTACTACCAAGATATAAAAAAAGATAGAAAAAATTGCACTAGGTATTAAGGGCATCTCTCCATGACAGAGGATGGCTTAATTTCACAAGAAAATAAAGAATTTATGGAAATTACCAAGTACTCATAAGTGGTTATGCATCCCAAAAATAAAATGTGGAACTTTCCATCTGATTTGGAAGCCTGGCTAACCTCTACACCAAGCTCTGGGCTGATATTTTGGGAACTCCTGAGTCCATTCTTCCCATCTCCATCTTCCCTGAACCGGTTATGATAAAGGTGTTAATGACCAGAGTGTTGCAGGCTTCTGCAGGCTTTCCTTATCTACTTAAAGCAACAGTGTAACCATTTTTCAGTTGAAAGCAGTAATTCATGGACAAGATTCCATGAAATTCTACATTTTTTTAAGTTTGGTTCTGTATGTGGCTTTGGAGTACAGTGGGCAAGAGAAGGGTGTATTAGTTCTTAGTCAGGGTTTTCATTGCTGTGATAAAACACTATTTGGAATCACCTCAGGAAGGAAAGGGCTTATCTGTTTGACTTAACATTCTTAGGTCACACCCCAACGAGGATGGTGGGCATTAGGACAGAAAGTAGGAACTCAAGGGAGGAAGCTGGAGGCAAGAATTGAAACAGAGACCACGGAGGAGTGCTGCTTACTGACCTGCTCCTCATGACTTGCCCAGTTTGCTTTCGTACTCAAACTCCTATACAAACAATGACCACCTACCTAGGGCCAGCAACACTCACAGTGGGCTGGGCTCTCGAACTTCAAACACTACTCAAGCAAATGTCCCTGCAGACTTACCTACAGGCCAATCTTATGGAAACATTTTATCAGTTAAGCATTTTCTCTTCCCCAATATATCTAGGTTTGTGTCAAGTTGACAAAAAACAGCCAGGACATCCAGTGAGTTCCTTATCTAGATGTTGCATGACATGAATTGCAGTAGCTTAAGGGTCACCTTACTGGTTCCAGGGATGACCTTGAATTTATTATGTAAAGGATTTCCATACAGTTCTGTAAGGAACAAGAAGCAACACCCCACTCCAAGCTTCATTGTTTTCCTACCCTTTCTGGGTACAGCATGGAATATGCTTCAGAAGCAGGTTTAGGTTTCACTGATACTTTGGTGTCTGTATTAGTTACTTTTGTATTGCTGTGACCAAAAACCCACAGACAAACAATTTATGGGTCTGACTTACTTTGCCTTGTGGTTTCAGAGGTTCAGTCCATGGTTACTGGAACACTGTGGTAACAGAAGCAGGTGACAAAGGAGCATCTTCATCGTGTCCCAAATAAGGAGCAGAGAGTGAGGGGACTGGGGACCTGAGGGACTTTCAAAGGTACACCTTCAGTGACCCATCTCTGCTGGCCATACTCCCCACAGTTTCCATAGCCTTCCCGAAGAGTACTGACAACTGGAGGCTATGCATTCAAAACATGAGGGACACACTCTGTATTCAAATCATAATCCTTCCGACTTCCAGTCACCAAAGGTTCTTAGTCATCCCATAATGCAAAATGCATTCAGGCCTTCTCCAAAACCTTAACAGTTTCAATATTTCTGCAAAGTACAAATTCAGTTTCTTCTGGGACTTATGGCAAAATATTAGCTGTGAGTCCCTATAAAATTCTTCCAGAATATAATGTCACAGTGTAAATACTCTCATCCCAAAGGGGATGGATGAGAGAACAGGAAAGAGACTTGAACAAAAGCAAGACCCAAACCCAGCAGCATGGACATTAAATCCCGTAGTCCTGCACCCATCATCTGGGGTGTGTGGTGGCAGGATGAGGTCCAATGAGTGTGGGCAGTCCCACTCCACGTGGGCAGTCTCTCTCTTGGTTGACTCTGCTCATTGCCCATGGCTTTTCTCCACAGACATCCCACATGATTGACATTTTCAACACTCAGGGCTCTGTTCCAGCTTAGGCTTCAGCCCCGCAGCATTGTGCTTTACAGGGTCAGTGATCTTAATCTTGCCTCACCTTGCCTGGCCCTGTATTGTTCATGATCCTGTAACTCTCCCTGTACACCTACAAAACCAGAATCACATGGTTAATGCCAAGGCCGGCTGTTAACTTGAGCAGCATCTGGGGCCCCTTGGACCACAGTCTCAGTGGTTTCCGAGTACCTGGGTAGCTGAACCTGGGAAAACATTGGCCTGTACAGCCTGTCTTAGGAAACAGTACCTCCACCAACAGCACTAACAACCTGGGGAGGACAGGGTTTCTTTCTCTTCCTAGGCTATCATCGAAGGCAGTCAGGGCAGAAACTCAAGCAGGCCAGGAACCTGGAAGCAGGAGCTGATGCAGAGGACTTGGAGGAGTGCTGCTTACTGGCTTGCTCCTTGTGGCTTGCTCAGCCTGCTTTCTTATATAACTCAGGATCACCAATCCAGGGAAGGCACCATCTGTAATGGGCTGGGCCCTCCCCCATTATTCACTAATTAAGAAAATCAGGTTTGCCTACAGTCAGATATTATGGAGGCTTTGTCTCAATTGAGGGTTTTTTCCCTCTATTGAGGGTATGACTCTAGCTTGTGTCAAGTTGTCACAAAACTAGACAGCACACAGCTCTCTCTCAGTTGGAATCCATCCACTTAGGCCTCAGATACTATATGGCAGCATCCTTAGTCCACTGGTTGATTGTAAGCTAGGGATTCTGTTTGTCTATCCCAGAGGACTTACCTAAGGGTTACAAAGATGCTTTGCCATGTACAGATGAGAACAACCGATGACTATTTAAAGGTTTAAAGATGCTCCCAGGTAAAGTGGCTCCAGACTTTGGAACATTCTAACCTCTCCACGACACACAAGTTCTAATCAGTTACCAGCATTGCTGATGGCTCAGTGGGAAGTGCACCACTTTTCAGCAGCCTTCACACATGGCAGCTTAGCAAATTGTAAAAGGAAGGGAATCAAAATTGGGTCTGGTATAGGAACTACAATTTGTATTAGGTACATCACAGAACAATCCAGAGACTAAACTTAATAAATGTTAATGTTAAGAATGTCAAGGAGACTGTTCCCAGCTGTACCTTTATCATAGCTCAGTCCCATAACTCAGCAGTCAAGTTTATTGTGCCCTCATACCTGATGTTAATACTCTAGTAGTATATATTTACATTAGTTACTTTTCTCATTGCTCTGATAAAATACCTGATGTAAACTGATGGGGTATTTCCTTCTGTGTAAATATTTATCTTATTGGTTGATGAATAAAAAATTGTTGGCCAATAAGGCAGGAAGATAGGCCAGACTAGGAGATGAGGAGAATTCTGGTAAACATAGGCATACAGAATTGCCATGAGGGACCAGGAGGATAGGATGTGCCAGGTGTTCTCTGGTAAGATAAGGTCTTGCAGAAATACTTAGATTAATAGAAATGGGTTAATAATTAAGACAGAACTAGCCAGTAAGGAGCCCTAGTCATTGGCCAACAGATTTATAACTAAGATAGCATCTGTGTGTTTATTTGGGGCTCAAGGGCCACAGGAGCAGCTGGGACAGAAAGCTCTCGTTACAGTAAACAACTAAGAAGAAAGGATTCGTTTGGCTCACAGTCTCAGAGAGCTGAGTCACTGTGGCAGTATGAGAGCATCTCACCTCACAATTGGAAGTCCAGAGAGGGATACTGAAGAGGATCAGTGCCAGACATAAACCCCAAAGGATGTACCCCCTCTAGCCTGCTGACTCCGACAAGATCCCACCTCTCCTCTTTCCCCTTCCTAACAACACCAAGACATTTTAATCCACTGTGGAATAAACCCAGTCATAACACCAGAACCCTCTTGATGACTAATCTCTGGAGACAGTTCCACAGACACATCAGGGAATTGAGATATGCCCCACTGGTCTCCATGGCAATTCCGTCTAGTCAATCAAGATCAACCAAAACAATATTGACCTATTTTCTGATTAACTGTGCATAAACAAACTGAGCAGCTTCAAAAACAGTAATTCATTGTTGTTTCTCAGAGCTTTGAGGTTGATGGCACAAACCCAAGTTTCCAGAAAGAAAAAAAGTCACACGTAGATTCTATAAAGCTGATTGACTAGCCAGAGCTTCATGACTGTGGGAAGACCAATACTACAGATCCAGAATCTTGTGGGCTATCCTTAATAGCCATCAGTTACTTACCTCTGTACCTAAAATCCTTCCAACTACTAGGGAAAAGACTGTATTAACTTAGCAGAGCTCCAATCCCAAAGCTAAGCATGTTGCCAACCAACGTGTGAAATCTATGCAAGGATTTCTCTGATTTGCTGTAAGCTGCCGGATGTACCCTCTGGAGTGTTTGGTATATATAGACCTCAGTCTATGACTTTTTTTTGTTCTGTAACTGTAAAAGTTTGTGTAACCACTTCTTCATTGTAACATGCATCATGAACATGGGTTTGTGGTTCATAGTTACTTATATTTGGCTCAGAATAAACTATGTCTTATTGTTTTTTGAGATGAGAACTGTGTTTTACACTGAGTTTGACTACTTTATTATTTTTTGTTTCTTTGCCTGAGACAGGTGTCATTGTATAACCTTGCTGTCCTTCAACTCACTCTGTAGACCAGGCTGTCCTCAAATCAAACTCATAGAGATACAGCTGCCTTGGTCTCCTGAGTTCTGGGATTAAAGACATACACCACCACTGCCTGCCTACTTTATTTTTACTAAAACTATCTGACTTCTATAATAATCTGTGGCCACTACAGAAACCATTGTTATGATTTAAATGTTGGGTACCCAAGTTAGGCTGTCTCGATCAATTTCGGGCTGGTGACACATGATGTCTTTATGTTTTTTCCATGGGACTAGTTTGCACTTCCTTATACCTTAGTTGTCTTAGGGTCTCTGGACCCCTTACACTGTGGCTGGCTTGATTCTGGACATTTTAAGACAGCCAGGTCAGGCTGTAAACTGATATTCTCAGAATCCCCACAGTATTCTTTGTTTGAAGCAGGTCAGCTCAGGTTCAGGAGCAGGAAGAGCAGGGGGGTGTACATGTAGAGAAGGGGAGGTTTGATAGCTTCACAAAGCTTTCCCATAATGTAGACTAGTTCAGGGTATCTACACAAGAGCCCCAGGGAAGCCCACAGAGGGGTATCCATGCCAGGACATTTTTGGATCAGTGTACCTTGTCCAAGCATCCCACAGCTCCGCTCCATTTGTGTCAGTATTCCATTCAGTGGTGTGTGTGTGTGTGTGTGTGTGTGTGTGTGTGTGTGTGTGTGTGTGTGTGTCCAGAGGTTGACATCTGGTATCTCCCCGATTGCTCTCCACCTAACTATTTCATCTGCACTACCTTACTGGCAAGCCCCAGGGGTCCTCCTGTGTCTTTCTGCCCAGCGATGGACTGCAGGCTGGCTTGTGTGGAAAGCACTTTACCTACCGACTGTGCTGCCTCCCTGCTCCAGTTGTTGTGCATGGTACATCTATGGGTACGGCCGCTGGCTGCCTCTGGCTGCCTCTAGTTGCCTCTGGCTGCCTCTAGCTGCCTCTAGCTGCCTCTGGCAGCCTCTAGCTGCCTGCCAGGGTAGTCCCAGATGATTTCCTCTCTTGCTTCTGAGACTGCCCACCTGTCAGTAGTCTCCTTAACTTGATCTGTCCTTGGTTTGTAGTGTGTGATTTGCAGAATGCAAGGCTTTTCAGGGATGCAAATTTCACAGTAGAAAACCCCAAGCTATTATTCTCCACTAAAAGAAAGCAGAGCTCCCTAGAGTGAGAGTGATTTCCATTCTTGAGGAACACTCTAGACTACATTGGAATATTTATTGAGGAAAAGCAATAATGCTTTAGGAATAATAGAGAAAGACACAGAAAATAGCATAAGGGGGAGCCTATTGGTCTGTTTGTGAACATTTGAACATCTAAAAATAAAACCAAAATTATGCTTAATTAAAATTATGTTGAGCTGTAAAAAGCTAGTCAGTAGTGATAGCCAAAGGAAAATAATGAGAATTTTCTTTTTTAAATAACAAGACTTACATCTGGGCTGTATTTGTTCAAATAAACAAAGATGCTATTCATATTTCATCTTATGAACACACACACACACACACACACACACACACACACACACACACACACACACAGAGGTAGATGAAATAGTCAAAGGCCGAGCCAATTTCATGCTTCTGTTTGGGATGTCCTTGGCTACTGTGGTGACTGAAGAGCATTTGTCATTTGTTAAGTTAGTATGCGAGTCTGTGGAGTCTTAGGATATAGTCACTCCTTCACCGCCCACATCACCTAGAATTTCCAGCTCTTAGAGAAATATTATAGTGGGAATCTAGAAATAAAATATGGACAAGAGTTGGGCAAAAACTAGATGTAGGTAGCTGTAGGTCTTTTCTGAACTTGTAGGAAACACGAGATTCTCAGAAAATGAAATGACGGGGCCCCCTTCCATGCTAGCAGACAGAGTCCTCACCACCTGCGGCTGTAAGCCTGCCACCTGTCTCTACTTGGCAGCAGAGTCTAGAGTAAAGGCTGTTGACCTTCATCAGACCTTTTTATTTACAATACTCTAACCCTCCTGCCATTGTTTCCTTTGGACATGGAGGTGCTTCAAGGACAACCTGTAGCCCTGGGAAGGGTGGGTTTTAATTTGAAATAGACCAGAAATGTATGAACAAGTGTTTGCTGGTTTACATTTATTGGCTGTTTTGTGTTTCCAGCTGTCATTTCTGGTTGTCCTGGTTACTCCGATGACTTTGCCCTGGCTCTGTGTGACCACTCAAAAGAACTGCCCATAAGAAGACAGATGGAGCCCCAGACCTCACACCCGATACTTATCTAAAGGATGGGGAGAAAATGCTGTCAATCAGATCCCCAAGGGACTTCGCTGAACCCAAGGATTCCTGGGAGGTGGCCGTAATGGACAGATCACTGATGACATCTGCTGGTCTTCAAAGAAAGTAGGATGGGAATGCTTCATGTTTGCAGTTTCAGCCCTGGGCCAAGGCTTTTTATTTCATAGTTTTGGAAGGTAAATCATACCAGAAACTTTTCTTAAAAGCACTTCTTGGACTGCTAGTGTAAGGTTGCTAGGCTGAGGCAAATTTGTTGTTCTGCTATAGAAATGCAAAAGGGCAATCTGAAAAAAAATTAAGGTGCTTTGAAAGTCATCTGTTGAATAACAGAACTAGACATAAACTTAGAGAAAATCAGGGGGAAGACGAGAGAAAGACTCCACAGAACTTGGGCAGAGATTTGGGAGTTTCAAAATCTGGAATTGCAGACTTCCAATCCTGTGCTGCGTCAAGCAATTCTGTTCAAGTTGACAGCAGGCACACTGAGTGGGGGTTAGATGTTTTCACAAAAGACCAGGGGCTTGCTGGGAAATTGGGGCCCTAAGCTGTGATGCTGGTGCTGTTTCTGCTACACTACGAGAGCTCCTAGGAAGTTGAAAAGAAAATAAGTAAACAAAAAGAGTCAAGCCCCCAAGTACAGTTTCTATGTGCTTCTGGGATGGAAAGCAGGTTTTCACCTTCTGAGATGACCCTCGTCTTCACTGATTCCTTATTGAAGCTGAATATACCCAACTGTTGTGAGGCAGGAGAGTTGCATGGAGAGTGAGGTCGATATTAGCATATTAAAGAAGCAGTTGGCACAGAGACTGGAGGCTCTTTGCCACAAAGGCCAATATGTAACAAATAGAGCATGAACAGAAAAGACCCATGCTATGTGAATGACCCCAAAGCCTGGGATATAAAAATTCCCAGCAGTTTGTACAGTGTTTGCGACTGACCCTCTAAACATCCTCCCAGTTCTGGCCCCTTTCTGGTCTTGGAAGTACATTGTTTCTTGGTAAACTATCTGCACTTCTGCTATTACCCCTGTGTCTCTGTTTAAGTATTGGTTTTGGGTCACAAGAAGTTGGAAACCCCAGTGCACACTCACTGGAACCAAAATCCACCAACAGTCGGAGCTCAGCTAATGAAAAAGATGAGTAGGTTCCGGCCATACCTCATTAAACCTTGTTGCTTCCACAAGACCTGAATTATACTATGGTGGCCCAAGTGGGGGCGGAGTGGTCATTTCTACCTGGATGGGAGGAGGAGGAAATGTCTTATGGAGGAGGTATGCTTTCAACTGAGTCTTGAATGAAGAATAGACAGATGCCAGGGATTAGAAATACCAGACGAACAACACCGCACATAGATTGCAGCACAGCCAAGAGCAAAGGATGACACAGGCTGGTGTTTGTAACCATGAGCAGTTTGTTTGGGCTGGCTGGCTTGGTTTGGGTTGTCAGAGCAGGCAGGATGTAATAGTGGGTAAGCTGCGTGAGAAGCAGGACCTGATCCTGGAACTCCCTATTCTGTGTTCCAGAGATTGCTCGTTTATTATTTATTCAATAAATGCATATATTAAGAACCTACTAAGTGTGACTTCTCAGGGTGACAGATTTGCGGTTTTTGTTGTTGCTGCTGCTATTGTTCTCAAGGAGCTTTTTGTATAGAAGGGGCAGACAGACATTAAGCCAATGATCATACAATTATTTAATTGCACACACAATAAGTCTCTGCTATGTGGAAGAAAATGATGTATAATGGGAGTTGTAACAGGGAAATCTAACTTAGTCTAGGATCCAAGAGTTCCCCAAAGAGGTAACACAAGAGCTGAACCCTGTGTAGATACTAGTCGGCTAAAGGAGGCTCATCTGGACACTTTGGAGAGAGGATTTGGGCAGATGTGACAAGGACAAAGGTCTGGGCACAGAGTTAGCTGGAGTTTTACAGAAGCAGGCAGGTGGGAAAGTCACACGGTCCTGTCTGCATCTCGGCAACCATCCTGTCTGCACTGTGAGGATGCAGGATGGAGAGTGTGGTGCTTGGCTTTATGCTTTGAGGCCAGCAGGCAATTCTTCACTTCTAGCTGTGCCCAGTGGCGGTCTCAGGAAGAGCTTAGCCATTGATTCAGTAGATCCAGTGCGGAGTGCCTCTCTCACACGTGGGACAGCATCAGCCAGTCTACCGAGGGCCCAAGAAGAACAAGAAGGCAGGGAAGGAGGGAGAGCCTCTCACTTCCATGCTCTTGAGATGAGGAGATAGAGACTTGACAGGTAGTTAGGGTGGGGGCCTCCAAAACAGATCAACCTGTTCTGTCCTGGCTGAAAACACCAGACAGGTTTTGACCAGGAGGCATTGGTCTGGTTCATGTCCTAGGTTATTTATGAATTTATTTATCCTGTCTTCTATAGCATAGCAACCTAATGAATATAGCCAGACGCCCGGAAGTTATTCATGATGAAATACTTCACCGGTCCTTGAAGACTTGTGCCAGAATCTCAACCCAGTCATGATAATGGAGAGAAATAAGGACATCCTGTGGGGACCTACAGCTGGGCCAGCTGGGATGGTCAGCCCACATCTTCTTTCTTCTCAGCCCAGTAGTTCAAAGACTTATCTAGTTCTTCAGTCAAAAAGTCTTAACTCCTGGACAAAGCTCCTCTACTTTCTTTTTTTTTCTTTTTTCTTTTTTTTTTCCAGACAGGGTTTCTCTGTGGCTTTGGAGGCTCTTGTAGATCAGGGTGGTCTCGAACTCACAGAGATTGGCCTGAGTACTGGGATTAAAGGCATGCGCCACCAACACCCAGCTTCCCTCTACTTTCTATACTCGTTTTTTCCTTATAATAAAGCTCCTTGTTGAATTTACTCTCCATTGTTTGTGAAATTCCCTCTTTGAGTTTGCAACACCAAGAACCTGGAATATCACTGATTCTGTCGGGGTTTTAGTGACTGTGCTCCTGACCACTGAGTTAAACCCACTTGAGACTAGAAAGTCTCTGTCATACTTAGGGACTGCCATTTTCCCATTTCACTTAGACATTAGTGCTCCTGGTCCTTAAGGCTTTGGACTCGGACTGGGATTTACAACATCAAACCCACATTTTCTTAACTTTCATTGCTCGGATGGGACTGTATTGCTGGCTTACACAGCACCAGCTTGGAAAGGACAGATTGTGGGACTTCCGTTCCCCATCATCGTGTGTGTCAGTTTCCACAGGAAACTTTCCTTCTAGGTGCCATATTGATTCTATTTCTTTGGAGACTCTTGGCTAATGCAGGGTTTGTGGAAGGCAGTTTGTGTGATGTTGTGACCGATCTGGTGGGAATGACAAAGTGAGGACTAAAATTATGACAGCATGGATAAGGAAATTGGAATAGACTTGACAGGTACTTAGGGCCTGGAACTGGCTATCCCTAATGACAAGGAAGTTAAATATGGGGCTCGTGGAGATAATTACCAATAGAATAATCCTTAGATATTTTGATGGCGTCCTTGTGTGAAGGACCAGATCTCGTAGGTGGTGGGGATGAGGGGACAGGGTAAGTGTCAGTGTGGGTACATTAACCTTGAAAGTAGATAGGCAACAGGAGGTGAGCACAAAATCTTGCAAAGATTTCAGAGCTGGAGTTGCTGGGATAGAAAATGTTTGCAGAGAGGTAGGTGTGGCTGAAGCCCAGCATCTGAGAACTCTCCCAGAGGAATATGAGTGAGAAGACAGACAGGAGAGTCTAAGCCTTTGTGAGAGTGACTGAGGGGCTGGATCCCCGAGGACTAGCAGTGATGCCATGAGGTAGACTGGGAGTCTCTTGGTGCCTTTCCTCCAAACTCCATTACTTTCCATCTTCTATGTAAACCCCAATTCTATGAAAATTGTCTGGCCCAGATCCAAACTGCCTGCCAACCATCTCCCCAGACCGACAGCCAGGAGCTCACACGGCACTTGTGTTTAGAAGGTGTACAGATGCAGGAAATGAAAGAGAAGTCAAACAAACGAACTGTAAATGGATTTACTGGGTTGACACTGTGATCATGTTGACTCAAAAAGTGACCTTGGGAGATCATATTTGTGAATGAAAATGATGACTTTTAGGTTCCAGGGTGATCCATGTAGACCTGGGCAATGGAAGTTGGGGATGTGAGCCTGGAGTCTGAGTGGGAAGCCAGGCCTTCTCATGTAGACCTACCATCTGTCTCAAGTTGATTGTTGGAGCAATAGGGCTCTCGTTTGTCAGACCACCCTATCACCCACCCTGAAAAATCCATTTCAGTTTAAGCCCTGTTTCCTGTCTCTGGGATGACAGTATGTACCACTGTGCCCAGTTTATACAGTACTGGGGATTGAACCCAGGACTTTGTGCATTCTGAGAAAACAGTCCGCCAACAGAGCTCTATCCCCCAGCCACACAAGGTGGCTATTTACCGATGTTTACTTATCTTTGGTGGCAGGCTTCTTGGTGACGGTGAATGATCCACATTTGGGAATTCCAGGTCGCTAAGGCAGTAGTGCTGTCCACTACCTTGGACTGGAGCCCTACACCACCATCACATACAAGTACGCCTGGGGGCTCATGATGGGATAGCTTATAGCCTAGTGGCTTAGGCCAGGTTGCTATAATCTGAGGGCCAGTGGAGTTAGAGTCACTTTCCAGATTCATCTCACACAAATGAGTCTGGACTAGAAATGAGAAGGTTTCCAAAGAGAGCTTCCCGAATTTCACATTTCTCCAGAATCCTCTGTGGAGTGATGTCCTCATCACTTCCTGCTGATGCCACACTGTCCTCGTATTCTCCCAAGTTCCTGCTGGGGAGGGCCTGACTAGCCCCACCATTCTCCACAGATGCCTGTTCCTCGGGCAAGCTCCTTGCATCCTCAGAATCCTCAGAACTCAGGGTAAACAAAGAGCCCTCGTCAGAATCAGACTCGTAATTGGTCACCAAGTCATAATGAGAGTCAAGAGGAGCATCTCTTAGCACAGGCTCCTCAGAGGCAGGAGTAACATAAGGGTCACTGTCCCATCTTGGCATAAGGGAGGGTGGGTCTACATCTCCTGGGCCATTATATAAGACTTCATCGTAGACACCTGACACCTCTTCCTCACCGTTGGCTTCCTGGAAGCTTGGCTGCTGTGTGGCCAGCCCGCTGATGGAATAGCTCACTTGGGAAGATTCTACCGGTGATCCCATAGCTACCAAAGGTTCAGGGCACCCCCTTTCCTCACTCTCCCCAGACCCTTGTGTGTTTGTATGTACCAGAGTTTTAGAGACGGGAGCTACAACATCTCCTGACTGTGACAGGTGCAATTCGTCCCATCCACCATCATTGATGGGGCTGGGAACAGTTCGCAGAGGGCCAGCAATGGAAGATTCATCCATCACACCCTTGTGGAGAGAATATTCCCGGGCCACCGTGTCATAATGTAATTCTTCGGGAACATCGTAGTGATCCTGTTCTGTTGAAATCCACTCTTGAGTATCAGCATTTGGAAGTCCAGGGAGAGCAGAATGGGTTACGTGGGCATATGGAAGCACATTGCAGACGCCACTTCTTACCCCAGTGTTGTCCTCGACTTGCATTGGGTTCTGTTGACCACTGAGCTCCATTCTGCTGCTCTGCGATACCATTTCTGACATGATGGTATCGTATAGACTTGGCTCTGTCACCCAGGAAGGGTTCTGGGTCTCATAAAGGTTGAGGTCGTGGGGAGCTTGGCGCAGCTCTGCCCCTTGGCACTGAACACGCCGGGGAGCTTCGACTTCATCATAGAAAGCCTCATTTGCATAGGCATTTTCGGCGCCAGGTCTTTTGCTCAGGCAGCTTTGTCTCCATAGCCTGTCAATACAAGGCCTTGTGAAGGCGCCCAGGGAGAAGGCCACCACAAATGTGATGAACACGGACAGGCAGATGGCCAGGATGAGGTCTGGGGAGTCAGCCTCCTTTCTGTCAGCGTCATGTCCGTCCTGGGAGTCTCTGAGTTCTGTGGGGGGCCGTGGCTGTGTCTCCTCGAGGTCATCATAGGCCACCTGTGCCTCTTTCTGTGGCCGAATCTCCTTGAGACCACCATCGTCCACCTGTGCCTGCTTCTCCAGAGTGGAAAGGTGAGCGTCCACTCCTTCCTGGGGTCTCTCTGCCTTGCTCTGCACGAGGCCATTCTCGTCACTCGGAGCAGGAGGACGGTGTGCTTCCCTGGAAATTCTGATCTGGGGGGTCTCCAAATATGGCTTTTCATTCCCTGCAACAGGGAGATGGGGAAACACACTGACCAGATGTTGGGATGAAACACCAGGCTTTCAGAGCTTCTGTGAGCCCCCCCCCAATCTTTAGCTAGCTATGTTTTTAAGCATGTATCAGGAAACAGGTAACTATTCATTTATGCATTCATTCGTGTGTTCATTCCTGTTCATTGCCTACAGTGTGCACATGGCTCTGTATACATCTCCACAAGACTGTGAGACATAGGTGTGCTTCTCACAGGCTCAAGAGGTTGTGTTCCTGAGGTCTCCTGCCCTACTGCTGCCCATGGGGGGAAGCCACCAGATGGGAGGGCTGGCGCATGGCTTTTCCTTCCTCTACACCCTCAACTACTTTGAATCTGCTAGAATGTTCTACTAACCCTTTATTGCATCTGCTTCTGCCCTACTTGTTGTATTGGACTATTAGCTCCTCCCTATTCTCCAGTTCTGGTAAACAGGAAACACCCACTTTTCTCTGCTGCCCTACACACTCAGAATGACAGTCCTGGCTGATGACTTCCCTCTGCTCTTCATGGATGTCTTCTAAACTCAGTAGTCATGGCAATGACACTGCCTTAATGGCAAACCCAAAGCAGTCAGATTGTAAGTCTTTTGTCCTGAATCTTGTTCTCAGGATAGTGAGTATAGCAGGGGGATAAAACCTTCCCAGATCGTCCTGCTTTAGTGATATAATCCGTTCATGGGGCAGCGATGGGGATCTGATCAAATGAAACTTTACTTCTGAAGCCTGAGTGCTTGTCTTCTGTACTCAGACGGTCACCTTTTAGAGGTTAGCAAACATTTGGAATAATGTTAAAAACCCTTTCTTCAATCAATTACTAAGAATTGGGATGAACTTTGTTACATTTTGGGGGCTGCCAGGCAAATTTTTTTTCTAGCAAGAACTGTTTCATTTGCATGTTTCTTTGATTATGTGGGAAAAAATAACTTGTTAGAAACCAAAGGGTTAAGCACCAGGACTGCCCTGTGACTCAGCCCAAGGCGGATTGGGATGGTGGGGACCAGCATCCTTGTTTTTGGAGAGACTTTCACTGCTTTTAAGGAGACTGACTTCTTATATGCACTCTTCTCCAAATGAAACTATTTCAGAAAAATCCACCACTCACTCACCCACAGCCGTGTTGCAGATGGCATCCCACTTCTCCCTCCAGGATGCAGAGGTGACATTTTGGAAGTTGTCATTGCTCTCGCCACACTGCCACTGGTTATCAGCCAAGTCAAGTTCCAGGTGGGGTAATTCTAGAGCAATGGTCACAATGGGTGCAAGGGTGGTCAGTGCATTGCTTCTGAGATCTACCACCTGTTCAAAGAGAAGTGAATATAGGTCAGTCTGTGTACACAGACAGTGAGGTAAAAACTATAAGGACTTACACACAGGTATTTTTAGCTCTACAAAAGCAATACAAATTGAGGCCTGGCATAAAAACCAGTGAATACTGGGTTTGAATTCCTGACCTGCCCACAAAAACCTCTGTATCTTGGCAATTGTTTGCTTTCTATGAGCTCATCTCCCAGCATTGTCCATGGGTTAGATGTTTGCAAAAGCTTTTCAGACATCCAAACATTTCATATTCTTTATTTACCATGTAACCCATGGCAAACTCCAGACCCACATGCTACTATCATTCAGAATTGAATACAGGCCAAGAATTTCTCAAAATATCATCATCATCTTGGAAATAGCAAAGGATGTGAATGATGAGGCCACAAGACACAGGAAAATCTCAGATAGCAGTATGTGGTTTCTTGTGTACTTAAGGCTATTCAGTATCTGCAAGAAGACTCATTTCTCCTGCACAATTAGAAATGCATGGAGAACCACGGAACAGAAATGATTCAGTGGCTCAAGTGACAGGCCAGGGTATGCTGGAGCTGGGCACAGCAGTGCATGACACTGCAGGGCAAGCTATGTTAGGTATGCAGAGCAGCGCTGTGCACCGGGCATTCTGCTGAGTGATTTATATGTTTTCTCAGATTCCGCCAACAACTTCCACAGCTCCCCTTTCTCACAGCGGATCCCACACAGAGTATACTTGGTACAGGGGTCTGGAAACAAGAATCGGGTGTGGTGGTACATTGCAATCCTGGTGCTTAGGAGGTAGAGACAGGAGGATAGAAGAGAAAGGTCAGACAAAATATCAAGCTTGAGACCATCCTGAGCTACTCAAGACTCTGTTCCAAACAGCAGTAACAACAATGAATGGAACCGCCGAATTAAAGGAGAGTTGTGATGCTTTCTGGCCTCCTAGCTGTGTGTCTTTGCTTCAAAGCATACCCTCTCTGAGCTACCACATTAGTGTGAAGAAGACATTTGGAGGTGACAACAGAAGTAAGAATCAGAAAACAGAGAACGCCAACCTTGCTTTAACAAAAAGAAGACATGGGTGAAAACTAGAAAGGTCTCTTGTCACCCAGGACATTTTCTCTCCCATTCCCCAAGAACGGTCAAATTCTCTTTATACAATCCAGGCTGGTCTTGAACTCATGGCAATCCTCTTCGCTCAGCCCCTTGATCAAGGACAATTTCTGAAAAAAATCTTAGATTATGCAAATTCCTAAGATAAGGTAAGTCTAACAACCCAAATGCTTCATCACAAGCAAAACTATCTTTTTTATGAAATTAACAAGTATGAGTGTCCTGTGCTGAGCAGCTATGCAGTTTTGACTATCAGGGAAGCCCTGAAACCAGGAGCTGGAGGCCAGGACAAGGAGGGAAAGAAAGCACTTTCCTTGGGCCTGGTGTTGTCCAGGGACAGATGCTTTCCCCCATTGGTGTCTTGTGTGAGCATCACACTGAGTTGTTCTCATGCTTTCTGGGTAGATATTTCCTTTTTTGATGTATTTTTACATCCTAGCTTTTTTTTAAATTACAAATCATGGAATTGAAAGTCAGTCCGGAGGAAAGAAAATGAATGAAATAATTCAGGAAGAATAATTTCGGAGAAAAGATGGAAGCAGAATTGTAACTTAGCAAAAGAAATCCCCACCCTGTGGCATTTGAGAGGTACATGTATTCCAGGGAGGCTGGGAGATGGGTAGCATATTGCTACACAAATCACTGTATCCAAGAACGAGCTAAGATTAAGAAAAGAAAGGCTAATTTGAAGTGTCAGTGAAACTCACTTCATCCATTTAAGTATGCTGATGGATTTATGTTTTAAAAATCCATTTGGCTTCAGGGAAGGCAAACACAACAGTGCAAATGTGAACTTCATCTTCCAGAGGGAAAAAGCTGACCACTGTGATATTCAGCTCCCTGGTGCCAAACATCTTCATCATGGTCCACAGCCAGTGTTTGGAGTTATTGCCAACCACACAGAAGGGAATGCTGAGCAGGGAACTCTATGAATATTCCCAGTTCTGGGGAGTTGACCATTAAGGCTATATTCCAACCATGCTCAGAGCTGACTTATAGCTTACCCTAGAGTTTTGAAGACTCTAAAGCACAATAAAATGCACAGGAGAGGGACACACAGGACAAATTCCACATACAGATGACCCGTAAGCAGCACACACTAGTGAAGGCTCCTTCACAACCTGCCAATGTCTTGCTAGTGACATGGAGAGCATGGGCCAAGAGAAGTGAGTTCTTGTGCCAAGCAGACAGACTCCAGAGAGGTCCCCCTTGATACTACCTTCTTAAGCAATCTCTTCCTTCCAGCACAGGCAGGCGAGGCGATTTGGTTTCTAACCCATTGACTCTATCAACGGCAGCAATGGGATGTCGCTTTTGTGATGATATTCCATAAAATAAAGATGTGTTTCTTACACAGAGCAGAGAACGCCAGGTAGATTCTTACTACCTCCAAAGGAAGATGTCTGAAGGCCACTGACAGGAGCCGTCCCACTGTCCTCACCAAAGGCAAGGACAAGGAGAAAAGTGCTTGCAAGAACAGGACTCTGGGGTTCTACAGTTTCCTTTGAGGGAAACAATTTGCAAGACTCACAGCTATGAAGTGTGACATAGATGGCCCACTAGGAATGTCAGTGGTGTTTAGAATAACATATGGCATGTGACAAGCACATGTGTGTACTATTATCACTGTCATTTTTACTGCCCATGTATGTTTTGGACATGAAAACTACAGGGTCATTGGCCAGCAGCAACCCATATGGCACTGAGCTTCTGACGTCTCAGCATGTAAGAAGGACCCTCTTATATGCTCCAGTTTGTGCAAGAGTCCTGGTACCTCCAACTGAACTTGCAGCTTAGGTAGATGGCATCATTTGTTTGTTTAAGACAGTCTTTCAGTCTGTAACCCTGGCTGAGCTGGAATTCCCTATATAGAGCAGGCTGGTTTCAAACTCTTTTTTTTTTTTTTTTTTTTTTTGGTTTTACGAGACAGGGTTTCTCTGTATTGTTTTGGAGGCTGTCGGTCCAGCCCGGCCTCGAACTCACAGAGATCCGCCTGCCTCTGCCTCCTGAGTGCTGGGATTAAAGGCGTGCGCCACCACCACCCGGCTGGTTTCAAACTCTTAAATAACACATTTAATTTCTTGCCAACTGGTAAATAAAATCTTGGAGTTGAGTTTAATTTGATTTAGACACATAACATACCAATTTCTTTTTAGTTATTTATTTTCCTTTTTAAAATTTAAATTAGAAACAAGCTTCTTTTACATGTCAATCCCAGTTCCCTCTCCCTCCCCTCCTCCCCTCCCCTTACTGGCCCCCTATCCCATCCCCTTTCTTGCTCCCCAGGGAGGGTGAGGCCTTCCATGGGGGATTTTCAAAGTCTGTCATATCATTTGGAGCAGGGCCTAGACCCTCCCCTGTGTGTCTAGGTTGAGAGAGTATCCCTCTATGTGGATTGGACACCAATTTCTTTCTTTCGTTTTTTGGACAGTGTCTCCTGCAAGCCAGCTGGCCTTGAGCTTGATAAGTATGTAGCTATGAACTTGAACTTAATGATCCTTCCCCTTCTATCTCCAACCCCAGAGTTCACATGTATGCTGGGGATCGAACCTAGGGCTGGTGGCATTCTAGGCAGGCCTGTTATCCACCCAGCCACATCTACAACAATGTGAATTCTTGCTGCTGAGAATTCTTGCTAAGCTTGTGTCCATGGCCATGGTTGTTGCTCTCTAAGCAACAGATTTCAGGAGTTCATAAATAGACTCTCATGCTTTGATTAGCAACCCTGCACATGGAGACACCCTTACAAGGAAACAGTCCTCTCTCCTAATTGGCCACAAGTCTGTGTAGTTAAGATAGTGATAAGAAAGATTTTAGAACCTGTAATTTGTTGAGGCCCTTGAAGGCTTCAGGGTGAACTGCGCATATCTTGTTGCTCTTTAAATAGATGTTCTCCAGCTGCAGGCAGCTATGAAAATCAGACAGCCCGATGTGAACTATCCTGTTGAATGACAGATCCAGACTCTGTAGCGACTTCAGCTTCCACAGTCCTGAGAAAAGGAAAAGCAAATTTAAACCTAAACCGGTGTTATTTGCTGCCACATAGTGTGTGGTGGAAAGTCGGAGGTATTAATGGCTCTTGAGTGGGAAGTTGTCAAAGGTGTGAAAAAATAAGTAATCTTAAGAGAAACCAGGCCAATTAGTGAGCAGGAAGGAAAAAAATTGAGTCAAAATAGCATAGAATATAATGACAATGTTCTTGAGGTGTATGCACATACAAACATGTACGTATGTATTTTGTGTGGGTAGAAATAAGCAGGTGAATGAACTTATGAATAGTCATTCCAGTTTGCTGTAGGATGGCTGAGGGACAGGGAAAAGGATATGGAGAAAGCTTTCTTTAACTTTATAGACATTGGTATCTCCATCACACATTAAATTGTTATTTATCTTCTGTGGATAGCACAGTGCATGTGTGGAGGACAGAGGGATAACTGTCAGGAGCCATTCTCTCCTTCCACCACAGGGGCCCCAGGATTTGAACCCAGATAATCATGCTTGGCTGCAAGCACCTTTCTTTCCAGGGTGAGCTGTCTTACTAGTCTAGTGTGTGCTCTTTTTAAATTAGAGAATCAATTTTTTTTATAATTCTAACCATGATTAAGTAAGACGATGAGTGGATGTTTGTTACTTTGATCAGGCATGAGTAAAACCAAATGATCTCCCTATGATGATAACATGGGAGAAATTTAACCTGAGGTTTATGTGAATGAATTCCTCCAATTTTCAAGTTTCTTATTCAGTTTTTATAGCTTCTTTTTAAAATTCTCATTGTGTATATTCATTCTACATGGTCCTGTATTGCATAAGAATATTTTTGTGCCACTGTATGTTGTATGTTGAGTGTATCCATCTGTCACCTTTCCCCGTTTGTCCCCTCTTTTCAGTTTCAGGGTTCTAATTCTCCTGCCATGTCACACATGCACGCATGCTTATTTTTAGCTATTTCCATTCTCATAACCATTTACCATTGGTATTATAACTATTTCCTATGTGTTTTTGGATATTTCAAAGATAGAGACATCACACGTAGACTGTGCTTTCCAGCACAAGAATCCGATGGAGTTTTAGCCTCTGCCTTTGTGTTTCACTGTGTTCTGGGAAAGTACGCAAAAGATCCCGTTGGCACTGAGAAGGAAGACTGAGAACGAGGTGCCAGTCACAGCAGACTTGCGAACTTAATTCCCAGATGGGTCTCCCAAGGAGGTGCTTGCAATTTCACAAGTTTTTCAGCCCTATTCTCAAACGTGGGCTGAGTCTTTACCTTCTGTGTGGCAGATCAAGTTTGTTTGGCTCCAGAACCAATTTTATTTCTTGCTTACTGTCTGCAAGATATCGATGACAAGACTGATTATGAAGAGAGCAGGTACCATAACTGAAATGGTTATACCATGTAGATTGTCATACGTTCGCTTGAGTGGCACAGATTAAGCAAGAGAACTTTAAAGCAATGAATCAATCAAAAGATAATGATGGAGGCACTTGGTGCTGCTGACAAATCTTTACCCCAGAAGCTTTGAGGGTGACAAGATAAGACACGTAGACAAGAAAAGTTACTTGTTAGGCAAAGTGGTTCATCATTCACACCTCCGCACTGTACAATAGGCTATTTGTCCTCCTGACTATCAAATGATCAAATTTCTTCTGTGCAGAATAAGGTGAACTCATAAAGCTTGGGATGCAGTGTTTGGCCTACATAGAGATCCAAAAACATTGAGCTAACATTAAGGATTCAATACAAAAGCCTGCATCTCTGATGTCTCTGGAAAGATTCAAAGATCTGACTGATACAAGCCATTTTGCTAGAGCTGAATGGAGGCTGCCACTTTAGATGGGGCATGAGCTTGTAGAAAGCTATTATTTCTCTGAATATTCTGTGTACGTCACATACACACACACACACACATACACGAGATAGACAGATAGATAGATGGATAGATATGTATAGAGAGATAGAGAAGTTGGTCAAGGAAACTATATTTAAAGAGCCATGAAAACGAGCCAGAGCTGATGTTCAGCTAACACATGTGTGTGTGTGTGAAATACTCCCATATTACACTGTAAACTTGTGTTCCTTGAGTCAGTGCACATGTGTGTGTGTGAGATACTCCCTATTACATTGTAAACTTGCGTGCCTTGAGTCGGTGCACGTGTGTGTGTGTGAAATACTCCCATATATCTTTGTAAACTTGTGTGCCTTGAGTCTGTGTATGCTGCCCCACTGTCTTGACACTCCAGCGTACCATCTCCCAGCTCTTCCCAAGTCCCCCACCTCTTTCTCTACTGTAAAACCAGTTCCAGGAGGCATCTAAGTGGGACTTGTGGGGAAGACCGGTCGTCAACAGCCTCTAGAATTGGACACATCCTCTAAAGGAAATGCATTTCTTTGTGCAGAGAATGGTTCTCCACGTTTAAACGTGCAAACATACGGCACAGGGAGGGCCTGAGAGACAGCACTGGGAAAGCACTGCAGGTTCGCTGCCACTTCCCTCATACTTGTCTGGCCTATTTAGAAATGTGAATTCACGCTTCCTAAAATAGCTCAATGCTTAACTGAACTGGGTAAGTTTCTAGCAGCTCAGTGGAGGGAGAGCACACACTGGCTTTGAAGGGCAGAGAAACAACTATGTGAAGTTCCTGTTTAATCATGCATTCCTTATGCTCTAGGCATTTCACATGTCTTTCATGTTTAATGCTCATAAAGTCCTGGACTTCCCACCATTTATAAACAAAGCATGTAGACAAGGTGACAGGGTGGAAGGAACTGGATCAAAGCCCGGATTGCTTAACTGTTCATAACGCTGTAACTGTGCCCCAAAACTAGACATAACAACAGAACAGGCAGACATGAACGGATGCCGAGAGAACTTGAGGGTTAAAAGGAGACGAGGATCTTTTAAAAACTCCCTCAGTGTCTTAGTCACTGTTCTATTGCTGTGAAGAGACACCAGGCCCCAGCAACCCTTATAAAAGAGAGCATTTAGTTGGGGGCTTGCTTATAGTCTCGGAGGTTTAGTCCATTGTGATCATGGTGGGGAGCATGGCAGCCTGCTTGCAGGCCCAGGGCTGGAGAAGCAGTTGAGAGTTTTACATCTGGATCTGCAGGCAGAGAAAGAGAGACTGGGCCTGGCTTGGACTTTTGAAACTTCAAAGCCCCCTCTGAGTAACACACTTCCTCCAACAAGTCTATACCTTCTAATCCTTTCAAATAGTGTCACTCTTTGGTGACCAAGCATTTAAATCTACAAGCCTATGGGAGGCCATTCCTATTCAAACCCCCACATTCCACTCCCGGATCCCCACAGGACTGTAGCCATATCATAATGCAAACCTGCATCAGCCAGACTTCAAAAGTTCCCATAGTCTGTCAGTCTCCACACTGTTTAAAGCTCAAAGTCTTTTCTGCGGTTCATGGAATCTTTTAACTACCACCTCCTGTAAAATCAAAATTTCAGAAAAAAGCAGATCACATACTTCCAGCATACAATGGCAAAGGATATATGTTCCTAAGTGGAGGAAAGAGAGCATAGCTAGGAAATACTGGACCGGAGCAAGATAGAAAACCATTTGGGCAAACTCCTAACTCTGCATCTTTGTGTCTGATGTCAAAGTGCTTTTGGTTCCTTTCAGCTTTGTTGACTGCAAAACACTGCTTTCTCTCGAGCAGATTCCATGCCCTGTTAGCAGCTCTCCTCTGCAGGTATCCCATAGCTCTGGCCTTTCCCACATCTCGGGGTCTCCAAGGCAATCCAAGCTTCACCTTCACAGCTTCATGCATTGGCCTCTCTGGACCTCCGTACAGGGACACCCCTGACACATGTCTGGCTTCAGCAGCTTTCCTTAGCCTTGGAGGGAGATTCCACAACTCCCTTCTTGTGTCCTTGACTCCAAAGCCAGATCCATGAGGCTGAAGCTGCAAAGTTCTTTCTGCTGCTTGTTGGAGCTGGAACTTGACGCCCTCGTTCAATCGTATCTGCACCAGCTTTTCCATTGTGGACAGTTTCCTTTCCTGCTTACGTTTTTCTTTCATTTCTTTTCACAAGTGGAAGCTTAGTTGGGTGGGTTCTTCCCCCGTGGTCATCACTCCCTTTATTCCATTTGGCATCAGGCTTTTCTGTAAACTTTTTATCTCCTTGAGCACTGGATTTAGCTCCATTACACTTCCTGGTGCCCTTTTCTCCCCAGACTGTACACTCTGCACTTTTCCTTGCCCTACTTCCTTCTTTTCATTGTAGATCTGCACAAGACTGACCACTAGTAACCATGTGACACAGTCAATACTAGGCTGTTTTGAAATCTGCTCTTCCAATGACATTAATCCAAAATGCTTCGATTTAGTCTCAGACAGATTTTTAGGACAAGGGCAAAAAGTAGCCACATTCTTTGCCAAAATATACAAGAATGGTCTCTAGGCTACTTACTAATATTATTTCCCTTGGAAACTGAGCTGGCCCTCCACAGTTCAAATTTCCCTCAGCACTGTCTTCCATGCTCCTACTAGAATTGCCTCTTAACTTAAAGCGTCCAACTGTCCCAAAGTCTTCTATAATCATCCAGCGAACAGCATGGGTCAGTTCCGTCACAGCAATGCCTGGGCCCTAGAACTAACTTATGTCTCATTTTATTATTTTATGTGTATGAATGTTTTCCCTGCATATATTTTTTAAAGAGTCAGCCTCCTTATCATTATGCAGTACTCTTCTATATCTTGATGATTGTTCTGGTTCTGAAGTCTTTGGAAATACTGTAACTACCCTGGGCTGGGAGATGGCTCAGTGCATATTGTGCTTGCTGTGAAAGCCTAAGGACCTGAGTTCAGATCCCCAGAATTCTCATAAAAGCCAAGTATGATGGTGCATGTCTGCAATCCCGATGCTGAGGAGGCAGAGACAGGTGAGTCCCAGCAACTTGCTGTCCAGTCTAGACAAAGGTGGGCTCTAGCCTATGTGAAAGACCCTAACTCAAAAACTATGGTAGAGGGACAGGTGTG